AAAGTGCAGTAAAGTTGGATCCATCATGCGGGAAGGGAGAGACCGAATAGTTACTCTTGCCACAGACCAAACAGGCAAGATTTTGGCCTGCCATGTAAGTAATGTTGGACTCTGGTATTGAGCTGTAGAGGAGGCTGTTAGAGACCCTGGGTAGTTTCTGTAAGGGCCAGCCAGGTCTTTGTGTGCTTTTGACCTTGTTTGCTCTGTCTTTAGGGAACAGATGCTGTTCTGGAAGTGTTCTCTGTCCTTTCTGAAGAGGAAGTCCGAAGAAAGTTGGAAAAGAAAATGAAGAAAGCAAAGAAAAAAGCCAAGTAAGCAGTCTTTTGGATGTATTTGGATGCTGTCTGTGTCCAGAGAACTGTAAGAAAAGCACTTCAGCAACAGTGGTTGAACTCTAAGCTGCTAGTCATTCTGTCTGTGCTATCTGTTGTATTTTGGGGTCACTGATCCTGTGCATCCTTGGTGCTTGTCTGAGCAACACTGCTCCCAGAGACTAAGGAAATACCTTTCTTTCTGAGTCTTCCCCCTGCAAAAAAAACCTAGTATATGCAAAGGAATGGACATAAAATGGGTTTTCCAGAGCTGCTTACTTCTACCTGACATTTTTATTTACATTGCTTGGTGCATCAAATGAAGTCCTTGATAGGACATACAGGAATGAGAGTTCCATCTGAGATCTCAGAGTGATTGATACCTCATCTCCTGTTTTGCAGCAGGCAGAGATACAGGTGAGAGCTTTCTTAATGTTTACTTAAAGTGTCTCTCTGGTTATCCTGGCACTTAACAGGTGCCTCGCAACAGCCCTTAGGGAGAGGTCTGTCTCCAGGGTAGAAATTGAAGCATAGGGCATGTAAATCTGGAGATGCATTTTGGCAATGGCTGAGGACTTTTGGTGAGTGGTAGGAGATGAGCAGAAGCTGATCTCCCTCTCAAACGCTGCTTTCTGTTGTCTGTTTTGTATCCATCTTTCTAACATGCCTTGTTCAAGTGCTTTGGCTCCAGAGGAGGTTGCCTTTTTTTTAGGACAGTTTGTCTTTTTAGTAGTCTGCGTTCCAGCATGAACTTCACTGTCTCACCCCGTTCTTAAATGTAGTTAGCACTGCTGGATAAGAGTGTGGTTGTTTTCAGCAGGCTAAGTGGTTTCCTTATGTTTTTTTCTGTCTCTCTGTTTATGTTGGCTGTGCTGGGTTATTTGACTGTCCTCCATTATCTGACATTTCTAGACAGAACTCTGAAGAGGAGCCTGAAAAGAGTGTGGAGCTGAGCCTGCAGGAGAAGATTCAGCGGGTCACTAACGTCAGAGCTTCTTCTAAAATCAAGTGAGTGGAAAGTCTTGTAGAGGCTGAGCTGTGGTTATGCAGCTACTCAGGGAGAACTCTGCCCAGCTCAATACAGGCAGAGGTGGAAGAAGCTTCCCCCTCGACATCTGTAGCCAAGAGGCCTACCACAATCTCCAGTCCATTCACACCTCTTCCACAAATGGTCCCCTTCTTGCACACATCTGTGGCTTAGTGTGCACTTCCTTGTGGCCTGCACTCTGTGTTCCTCTTTCTCAGTTGTTCTTGGTATTTGATCCCTCCTACATTTTGTCTTATTGGCCCTCTGTACAGCTCTGATTTTGTCTAATCAAACAGGTCATTTGACTTGATTCTCTCTCCAAAAGGAGAGCTGAAGATCATACTCCTGCTCCAGAATAACATCATTGAGTCGTACAACCTGAACCTGTCAGCACAAGTCCCACAGGCTGTCCGTGTGTCCAAGATAACCATTGGAGGCCACCGCAGTGATGTCAGGACGTTGGCTTTTAGCTCTGACAACATTGCAATTCTCTCAGCAGCTGCAGAGTCTGTAAAGATTTGGAACAGGTACACAGTCCAATTGTGTCAGTCTCCTCTGTCCTATGTATGTCAGTCTCCCAGAACTCAGGGATGCTGAGTTCAGAGAGGCAGTGATAAGGCAGAGAGGATGATGGAGAAATACAAAATAGCAAATGAAGTAAAGGAAGTAAATAGAAAACTATTTGACTTCTTTCCTTATTAGGGAAACTGAGAAGCTATAGAGCTAAAACTGCATAATTAACTCATGGAGTTTGATGTTGTAAAGCAGCACTGAGGCTAAGTTACTAAACTTATGGCAGGTATGGAAAGACAAATCTCTAAACGCAAAGGTCATACACAGCAGTCTGGTATAGACTGTATTTTGTTGGGTTTTTTTCCTTTTAAATGGGAAGTACTGTTACCCTAAATTAGCTACTGCCTGTTCTGTAGGGAACATGTGGGTTTCTTGACACTTTGCCTGAAGGATCTAGTATTAGACTGAGTATGCTGCTGTTTTGATCTAGTGTTGTCCCAGTATTTCTTGAGTGGTGCTGATTTCAGGCTCTGTTTCCTTTGAGCATGCTATCTTATACTTCCTTTCCTGAATGACAGCAGTTGCTGTTTGAGAGCAGGAGCTCTGTCCTTGCTCACAGCAGTAAGTCATGATGGTGGTGCCACATTTTTGTGGAAAATGTTCTTAGCAATAATGCTGGTTAGCATTTGGGTCATAGGATGATGGTGGTGTATCTTCTGGCCCCCAGTGAAAAGACAGCTGTAGGCAGAGGCCACTCTGGAGCACGTCTTAATTAAGTGGGCCAGATTTTGTGTCTGATAAGAGGTTTTTGGCTCTGCCTTTGTCCACAGATCGACCTTGCAGTGCATTCGGACAATGGACTGTGAGTATGCGCTCTGCTCACTCTTCGTCCCAGGAGATCGGCAGGTCATCATTGGCACCAAGGTAAGTATAGTGTCCTTCTGCACTCCAGACTCCCCAGGTCTGGAAGTATGTTAGGAAAATGTTGTTAAGGCAGTCTTGTAGAAAATGCATTGTATCTCCTGATCTGGAGCACTCTGTTTTAGATGTAAAAACTTCTCTGGCAGTCAGGTTCTGCTCTGTTCCCACACTCTTTATGTAGCTCTTGTGGCTTGAGCTGGACAGCTGGGGAGAGGTTTGGGAAGTCCCTGATGGAGATTGGGGATTTGACCATCTGTGTGTAACAGCCATCTAATGAAGCTGACTGTTTGGGAGATGGGTGGCAGGGGTGGTGTTCTGCTAGGAGCTGTCATGTATCATGAAGGTGGAGGGACTGATTTTGTCCTCTGTGATCTATCTTTTTCCCCAGACAGGGAAGCTGCAGCTGTATGACCTGGCTTCTGGGAGTCTAGTGGAGACAATTAGTGCTCATGATGGGGCAGTGTGGTCCATTGCTCTTTCACCAGACCAGGTAACTCAGCCACCTGTCTAAGTATCATCCATTGCACATCTTTTCATGTAGCTCCTTCCTGTAGTGCTGTGTTTGCACTACTGATGGGAACTCCTTATTGTGGCAGGTGGAGGATGCAGCTGGTAGTGTCTAAGAACTTTAACTGTGGATATGTGCACAGCTTGGTGAAATACCTCTCTAGTTGTGTGGCACATGGCAATGAGTGTTTGGGCTGAGTGGGCCCATCCTCATCACCTCATCTGGCTTCTGCATGATGGAGAACACTCGGACTTCCCTGGTGGAGACCATGTGTGCATCAGTACATACCCTGTGGATGTGTTCCAGCTGTGGAAAGCTTCAGCCCCTTGTAACCTGCTGCAGTGGCTGATTATCCTCCTTGTTTAAATTTGCTGCTTGTCTGCTAGATTAAAGATCTCTAACATGGTGATGTTTTTTATTTGTGTTGCACTTTTCCTGAGTGACCAAATCATCCTCCCCATCTATCTGATGGTCATTAGGCTCAACTTTGTCCCCGCAGGATGTGTTTTCCGGGCTCTTAATTGTTCTTGTGGTACTTTTTAGGTTACTGTAGTCTTTTTTTTTGCAGGTGGCCCTAGGGTCTCGGTTCCCTGTCTGATAGGCATTATACCAGTGCCAAATGCACTAGTGCCTTTTGAATCCATCCAAGGACTTAATTAGCTCTTTTGGTGCTAGTTCTGCAGTGAGAATGTGTATTCAGATAATAATCCACTGTGTCCCTCAAAGCCTATTTTGGGGCACTGCTTTGCGGAAGGCATATATGTGGGACTTAGACCATTGCTTCCTAATACATAAATTAATGTTTTGGTTCTGTTTGGGCACTCTTTGTCAGATAGGTTGAATAGCTCTGATATTATATAAATACATTTAATTGGTTATTTTTCTAGTAATCCATAAAATCTGAAGCAGCATAATGTCAAGTTATTAGGTATTTCTTAAGCTTTGAAACCTCTTAGCTGGTCTTGAATCCATGGAGTATGTGCTCTGTTGAACTATAGTATCCTAGTTAGGTAAATGAAAATGTAACAAAAGACCAAGAGGCGTTCCTTGCACGAGCAACACTGTTACTATTACCAACTGCAGCTTTAATCTTAAGGACGATTATAATCCCTATCAAATTAATTTTCCATAAGCTCTTTTCTCCATATTCAGTTTACTTTGTTTGATGGAAACTGCAGTGACCTGTTACTTCTATTGACTATGCTCAGTTACCAGGCCTGCCTGTTTATGGTGTTACATTAGTTTCTTCCTGGATCTCACCTAGTATTTCTGAAGTTGCTGAGAATGGACGTTGACAGTTTAGAGACCTCAGTTTGGTCTGTAAAAGTCTTGGATTCAGGGGATCTGAACCATTGATTTATAAATGCCTGACATAGGTAGCTGCCTTCTGACAGCCTTGTGAGTTATTGGAGCAGTTTTTCATCACTGTCTTGTAATGTGATTATGGTATGTGGGGTTTTTTTTTTCCTCTGAGCACAGCAGATGAGAAATGTTTACTGAACCCATGTTTACTGAGCATTGCTGTTTAATAGTTCTCATACTTCCCTCTAGAAGTGGGTCAGTACTACTGGAAAGACTTTTTTTTTAAATGTTCCCATTTTACATGCACACACTCACTCTATTTAGCCTAACCACTGTGGCTGTAGAAGTCTGTCTGTGTCTTTTACTCCTTATATCAGTTTTTCTCCATTACCCCAGTTCAGGTTCATATTGTTTTCTATCAATTTCTACTTTCTTCTGTTTGCTGTGTGTCCTTTCTTATTTTTCTTATATGGTCATGTTGCACTAGAAGCTGGAGTGGTTTTTAGTGGAATCAAAACGCTAGCAAGTAATAACCTGCCTAAGATTCATTCACCCTACAGATTAAAGCATATGGGATGGATTTTACCCTTGTTCTTAATGTAAAAGGGATAATGTTGAACTGTTCTTCCTTTAGAAGGTTGTGCTTGTGGGCTTGTGTAAGGTGTGTGTGATCCAGTAACAGTGGGAGTGTCAACTTGCCCACAAAACACAAGCACATTATTAGCTACAGCTGAGATGACTGCTTTCAGTCCCAAAGTTTCGGTCTGTGTCTTGATTTACATTTGGAGTCTTGTCTTAGACCTCCCTGCCAGAGCTTTTGAGAGTGCTGTTGTTGCTCAGCTGATGGGTAATGCATGCTCAACCAACCAAAGCAAGTGCTCCTGGTGGTGTCCACTTAATAAGTAATACTGTAGGAATGTGGGACATGTCAACACACAAGGAGGTTTTTGAAAATTCCTTGCGGTAGAATTTCTCTGGGTTATAGCAAAAGTGGTTTCACAATAATTTTTTTGTTCTCCCTTGCAGCGTGGCTTCGTGACGGGAAGTGCTGATAAATGTGTCAAGTTCTGGGAGTTTGAGCTTGTGAAGGATGAGAGCAGTGGTCAGAAAAGGTGAGAAAAGAAACCTTTCTAGACTACACTGAGCTGCAGTATCCATTGTTTTTGGATACTTTGGGTTTTGCTGTGCACTGTAAGAAGTGCCCATGACGTGTACGTGGAACACATGGAGAAGAGTGTGAGCTTAGTGCTGTTTTGTGAAGGTCTGAGCTTAGCTGGGGAAGGGCACTTACCACATTCTGATCCCTTGCTCATGTGTGAGTTTAGCTTCTAACCACAGGATGGGCCTCCAGATTAAGCAGTAAATTTAGCAGTGAGGTTTATCAGCCTGCAGTGCCGTGCTTATTTCCAATCCTGTCTTGTTCAAATCATAATGAGGAATGAGATGCTGCCTGTTAGAAACTTGTTTTCTCAGGGTGCAATGTGGGAATTGTATTCATACCTCTTCCCGACTTGTTTGTTTGGGATAACAATTGGTATTTTCCCTCTTCTTGTGACCAGGCTTTCCATGAAACATGTGCGCATTTTGCAGCTGGATGAAGATGTTCTCTGCGTGCGCTACAGCCCCAGCCAGAAACTGCTGGCTGTCTCCTTACTGGATTGCACTGTGAAGATTTTCTACATTGACACACTCAAGGTGCGTGGCCAAATATGGGCTGTGAGGCTGTGCAGGGAATGACGTAATTGTAGTCTGAAAGATCAGGAATACACAGGAAAAGTCTTATTTATTGTGGGACACTAGTAAGAATCAAAGAGAGACCATGCATCCCACTTCAGGTGTCTGTTTGCTAGCAAACCTGACAGAACCATGGCTGGCCCACATTGGGGAGAAAATCCATTTTTTTCGTCTGGAAAGTGGTGTGAACCTGCAGTTGGCAAGGTTCATTCTACACCCTATGGGCATGGTGGTACTGCAGAGCTGCAAGGTGCTGTAAGGGTGGGAGTGGATCTGTTGCACATGGCATTTAATAGGTCATAGCAGAGGCAAAGCCTGGGGGAGGAGAATCTTCCTTGTGAGTGGTGTGGTGGTTTTGTGAGTTTTGTATTAGCATGTGAATGTTAAGGAATATAACACAAGACAGACCAGCACTGACAGATAGGCAAAGAGAAACAGAGATAAACTCTATAGGCAGTGGTGATTAGCACCAGAATTAGCTCAGCTTGCTTGGGTACTTCCACCCTTCTCTCAGTTCTGCCATCATTGCCTTGCTACTAACAGTGTTCAGAGCAAAAATGAAAGTGTGGCAGTGCTAGAAAGAGCTCCTGAGGCAGAGCAGAACTAGCCTGGACCTCGAGATTTTCGCACATGTCTACCCAGCATGTCTAACTGAGATGCCTTTCTTCTGCTTCAGTTTTTCCTCTCTCTGTATGGACACAAGCTGCCAGTGCTGTGTATGGACATCTCCTATGTAAGTATCATTAGGACTGTGTGTTAGGTGGGACTGTGGTGATGTGGATGACTGCGAGAGCCTCTGCTGGATAATGCTTTCTTGTCACCTCCTTGCTCCCAGCTTAGCAGTTTCTTAATGGGACACAGCAAGCCCTTCCTTATCCCGCAGTCCCTGTGCTCACTGGGAGGGGTCACAGAGTAGTGGTCATGACAGAACTGACCAGGGCATTTTGTAAGCGACTGGAAATCAAAATGTTGTGGTGGTTCATGCTCTCTGTTACTCTCAAAGTTACTAACTGTGTGAAAGGAGCCTGAATTCTTTGTTAGTGGGAGCACAGAGCAGGTGCTGAGGTGGAGCAGCCTCTTCATGCCTGTTCATTCTTGGGCTGTATCTTGCTCTGGGGTGTCCTTGGAATGAAGCTCCCTGGAAGCCAAAAATATCAAGATATAGCTAAGGTCTTAAATGCCTGCAGAGGTTCAGAACAGAGCCAGGGTGCTGTCAGTAGGCTGTGCCAGTACCACAAGCATGGTCCACTCTGGTGAGAGGAGGTGGAGGGATAGGATGAGAGGAAATGGCCTCAAGTTGTGCCGGGGAGGATTAGATTGGATATTAGGAAAAATTTCTTTACAGAGAGAGTGGTCAAGCATTGGACCAGGCTGCCCAGGGAGGTGGTGGAGTCACCATCTCTGGAAGTATTCAAAAAACGTGTGGATGTGGCGCTTCGGGACATAGTTTAGGGGGCCTGGTGGCGTTGGGTTAACGGTTGGACTTGATGATCTTGAAGGTCCTTTCCAACCTTAGTGATTCTGTGATCAGGAGGGCATGTTTCAGGAGCCAGATATCTGCCTACTCAGCACTGCTTAATCACTAGTTCAGCAGCAATTCCTCATGGGTCTGCCAGCCAGCTACCCGCACTCTCCTTTCTCGTTGCTCTGTAGGATGGGACTCTAATTGCGACCGGCTCTGCTGACAGGAACGTGAAGATTTGGGGCTTGGATTTTGGGGACTGTCACCGCTCTCTCTTTGCCCATGATGACAGGTTAGTCAAATCCTGCAGCATCTCTGGGCTATCTTATTGCCAAGGGGTTGTGATCCAGCAAGAAACCTTTTGTCCAGCATAGAGTGGGAGGAGGTCTGCAGCGTTTCCCAAGTACGTGAATTTGAGCCTTTTTCCCTTCCAGTGTGATGTATCTGCAGTTCGTGGCGAAATCCCATCTCTTCTTCACAGCTGGAAAGGACAGCAAGATTAAACAGTGGGATGCAGATAAATTTGAGCACATCCAGACGCTGGAGGTAGGAAGTTTTGGAGACTTGAATTTTTGGAGAAAGGAATCGTTATCCCAGCAAGAGCAGCACTTCCGTCAGGGGTTGGGAGCTGGGTGGTGTTCATGTCTTACCTCTTCTGTCTGCCATGCAGGGGCATCACCAGGAGGTGTGGTGTTTGGCACTCAGTCCCAATGGAGACTACGTGGTGTCGGCCTCCCATGACAAGTCCCTGCGCCTCTGGGAAAGGACAAGGGAGCCACTTGTTTTGGAAGAGGAGAGGGAGATGGTGAGAGTTGCATCTTTCCTGCCAGTGATGACTCCAAGACCTGTTTTTTCCCCAGCAGGAAGATACCTCATTTTTCACTGTGGAAGAGCCTGGCTCCACAATTGGCAGACTTGCTCGTTACTAACCACAGCCTGGTGTTGAGGTGCCCAGGGTTGACTGGCATCTTTTGCATGATGGTACTGTTGCCCTGATCTGTCTAAAGACATCTAAAGACACAGATGTTGTAGATCCTTGCCTGTCTGTACTGCATTGCAGAGGGCTGGATAACTTGCGCTCTGCCTTGCTTCTGTCTTGCTTCCCAGACCTTCCTCTATAGCTGTGGTTTTCTACAGGCCTTGTTGGCTACAGACTTTGACCTTCTCTTACTCTCATGTGCTCCTTTCAACTCAAGTGTGCTTTGATTGTGGAGTGATGGAGAGCACTGCTCCTGTTAAATGCAGCTTGTCTTGGTTTCCCCTTTTCCAAACATGAGAGGTCCGCTCTATCTCAGTAGAAGGCCCCAGAGCTCAGGGATGCTGGAAGAAGCTCCTTCTACTCCATTTGAGCGTGTATTGTGAGGAGTTATAGACTCACAGAAAGGCTTCAATAGGAAGGAAACTCTGGGGGTCTCTAGTCCAACCCCTTGCTCATTGCAGGGTAACTTTAAAGCTGCATCAGACTGCCCAGAGACTTGTCTTGATGCATGAACATCTCCAAGGAAGGAGATTTTCCAGGCTGTCTGAGCACCTCTTTCAGTGCTGAAGCACTGTTGGTGTTGGCAGACGCATTTGTTACATGAAACAAAATTCCTAATTTCCAACTAGAAATTCCCGTGGAACAATTTGTAACTCTTGTCTTTTCACTGTATCCCTCAGAGGAGTCTGCCTTTGTCTCCCCTTCTTAAAGCAGTTCTCAAACCACAGTGGGAGAAGTGTGTAGGAATATGTGCAGAAGCAGGAGTGGATGAGAAACCTGCAATAAATGTGGTGGGGTTTTGTTTTTTGTCCCAGCCTGTTTGCAGATAGCTGAGTTGATCCATAGGCAGCATCTTGATTCCCAGTGGGTGGTGTGCTAGGAATGATGGTGGTAAAATGAGAGACAGCTCCTTCTCCAGGTGCCAGAGAAGTGTGTTTTGGGTCAAGCTTGAGTAAACCGGTAAAAACCATATTTACCAGTGTAAATACACCAGTAGTGAATTTACACTGATGGAGCCCTGTTCATGTGAGAGATGCCATACAGGACGCTCTGTCCTGTTGCAGGTTAGGACAACCCTGGGACTTTTCTAGGTTTCTTTTTTCTGTGTTGTGTGCTAGGTAGAAGGTCTGGTGCTGAATTGCTGTTGTCTGTGTGTCAGCTTCGTGGGCTGTCTAAGGGCAGTCCCTGCATCCAGAGCAGAGACCCTGATTTCTTTCTGCCTGGGAGATTCCAGAGTTCTCTGTGGGGTTGGGACCAGGAACAAGTGGCCATTTTGCACTGGCATTGTTGATCTCTGCTGATTTGTCCTGGTTTTGCAACAGGCTGCGTGAAGCTGCAGGCTCCCTTGCTGAACCAGTCTGGAAGGGACTTGAACCCTTGCTTGCTGCCTGCTCACCTGTGTTAATATGTTGTGTTCTCATTCACTGCAGCAACGAGAAGCAGAATATGAAGAGAGTGTGTCGAAGGAAGAGCAGCCTGTGGTGAGTTGCACCGTCTGAGTTTGTGCCAGTCTGACTGTACAAAGTCTGGAATAACTGTTTCTGTAAGAGGCATAGAAGAGGTGTCAGAGAGGACTGATAATTTTCATGCTTTGGGGAGGTGCAGGGGGGAAGCTGCTGCTGAAGCTGTGGTTGCCCCATGATGCAGTTGACTCTGGTACTTCCTACAGACTTCAGGAGAGCGTGTGGAGCTGGCCAAGCTGGTACACAGTAGCTGTGAACACTGAAACCTTGCTGTGCTGTTGCCCTTCCTGTCTTCCCAGTTCAGGTCCACACCAGCTCTGTATCAAGGCTGGGCTGCCTTTTGACAGCTGCTTCCAGGTCCATGTAGTGCAGGACGGGTGGGGAAGCCTGATCCCCCTTGCTCAGATGCTTGGGTTGTGTTGCTGATAGTTTTGACACTGATTGGATCATTTGGCCTCTGTTGGCAGAACAAGAGCTGTGTTTACCTGCCTCCCAGAGCTCAGTGTTTGCACAGTGCCTCTGCTCCTGAGGAAGAGCTGTGTACTTGGGAAATCCTGTATTTCCTCAGATAAATGACCATTTTAGGGAATGGGGCTGGTGTTTTTCTTAGTATAGACTGTGGTAGGATGCAGGGGGTGCCTACATGTATCAGCTACAGAAGGAGGGAGCTGCAAACTCTGTATTTTGTAGGTGGCCAGAGAGACGCAAGGAGAGACGGGGCTGGCAGGAAAGAAGACTATTGAAACCATCAAAGCGGTAAGATTGTGTGGGTCTGCTGGCATTGCTTTGTGCCTTAGCCCCTCTCCTTGAGAGACTGATGTCAGAGGGTCGGCGCATCAGTTTGAAGAGGAATAACCTATGCTGTCACATAAGGGCAGATTGCCTCTGCCTGCAAGAGCAGCCTGTCCTGCTCCATGACCAACAGGGAGGGATCTGACTCTGGAGAGTCACGCACCAGGAATTATCTCCTCCCGAGATCTCTACAGGGAGCGAGGTGTGAGGTTCCTGTAGCTGCAGCTTTCTCTGCCTGTCATGTGTGGGACAGGGGTTTGCAGCCCAAAGGAGCACAAGGCAGCTGGGATGTTCTCTAGGCACCAGGTCTCTCCCCAAAGGGTCTGCCTTGTCCCATGGGCATCTGTGGAAGGTGGCAATGTATTGCAGTGCCTGAGCCGGGAGGTGGGTAATTTCATGGCCACAGATTTCAACAGTCTGGTACTCTTGTAAATACAGAGGAAATCCTTAATCTGAATAGTCAAGATGGCCTGACTCTGGCTTGTGCCTCAAAGGGGTACTGCTTGCTGGGGGTGGAGTTCAATGTCAAGGCAACCCTTGAAGGTGCAGCAGAGAGCACCCAGGGCAGTGGGGGAAATGAGGATGGTGTTTGACATCTTCAGGACATGACTGATGTGCTCAGAGTAGTGGTGCAGTCTGGTGTAGAGGTTGTCTTCCTGAGTGAGATGTCCTGTGATGCTCCATGTCAGCCCCTCTATTTCCACCTCCATTTGTCCAGTTGGACTTGAGCTTTTGTTTGGCTTGTCTAGCCAAACTGATGTGCTGTTCTGCCACGCAGGCTGAGCGGATCATGGAAGCTATCGAGCTGTATAGAGAAGAGACGGCAAAACTAAAGGAACACAAGGCCATATGCAAAGCTGCGGGAAAAGAGGTAAAAGACTGAGGAATGTACCAATCCCAAGGTGTGTTGGATGTATCCTTCCAGGGCAGGTGGAAATGCTTGGTATGCAGATAAAATCAGGACAGCTGGAAATAGGAGAGAAAACTTTTGGAGAACAAAAATGGCACTGTGCTCTGGGGCATGGTTAGTGCTGTGTTCTTTCCAACAATCTTTAGGTTTAAAGTAGGATGTAAGTTTTGTCCCTAGGAGAGCATGCTGCTGCAAATTCATCCCCAAGCCTATTCTTTGCCTTCATCTCAACACATTTTGCTAAATAAAGGGGCTGTGGGATAAATAAAGGGGCTGTGGGAAAAGTGACAGTTAAGAAGTGGAAGAAAATGTATACATGTTTGAGTTAGTCATATATGTCTGAGAATGAGATTGTCTAGTGGCTGCAAATGAGGCCTTTGGCAACCTTCTGGGGAGGGCAGCAGTGTGGGAAATGCAGGAAAACACTTGATAAAAGCTCTCTACTACTGTGGGATAAAGTTTGTTCTGTGAATATGCATTTGTACACACACACCTGCCTCATTGTAACCCATTTTGTGTCTCCAGATTCCCTTTCCTGTCAATCCTATCCTCCGTGCATATGGAAATATTACAGTAAGTGGAATGCCCAGGCCACAGGCTGTGGGTCATTCTTAGCTGGAGTGGGGCTGGTTGATTTGCTGGCTAAGCCAAAACACTGGGTTGCTGTAGGGAAGCAGGATGTCTTGGTTCAACTGGAAACAAAAACTCAGCAGTTTTGCTTGTGCAAAGTGAACACGGAATATGGGGTTTTTTTGGGTGTGTCTTTTGCAGGGGTGGGGGGTGTTGCTTTTTTTTTTTTTTGTATTCTTGAAGATAGAGGAAAGCTAGTTCAAACTTTTCCTGTGCCTGAGAGCACAGGAGGGTGCAGTTGCCATGCTACAGCATATTCCATCTTACACAAAATACCTGAGCATCCACTAGAATATGTAATTGAGAACCCATGTCACTGTGTCCCCAACCATGTGACATCAGTCAGCGCTTAGCCAGAGCCATTCTCTCCCTTCCTCTGTGAATAGAGGCATATTTAATTGCAAGTTGAATAGGTTGAACAGGGCTGAATGAAATCTTAGGCTCAGTAGCTAGCAATTTCTTTGGAGGCGGGTGATGTTTGATTGAACCCCACTGTACAGAGACGGGAATTTGAACCTGTTCCCAAAGTCTTGGCTGGAAGAAAGTGCTACTCCAAGTGCTAGACTGCTGGGTAAAAACATAGCCACAAGTTATGACGTGTCCTGTTATGTGGTGAACTGAGCATGTTGAGCATTCAGTATGTCAGACTGTGAACAAAAATACTTCATACACTGACAGTCACTTACCCTCTTTCTTGGGAGAGACTGCTTGTGGAGGACTTGTCCCACTGTACCTACTGTGTTGCCTTGACTCAAGAAGCGGGAGCTGGAAGCACTTGAAGGCTTCCTGATCCTGTAACCAGCAGGGCAGCTCTGAGCAAGGCAGAGCTGTGTTGTACCTGCCCGGGTTTATTTCTGTGGCATCGGTACATCAGTTACTGATTCTGCTTTTCTTCCTAAATAATTTACATTGAGAAAATTCTGCATGGTAATGCAAATGTCCAAGTATTGCAGGCTTCATAGAATCACAGAATCACTGAGGTTGGAGAAGACCTTTAAGATCATCAAGTGCAACCGTCAGCCCAACACTACCATGCCCCCTAAACCATGTCCTGAAGTGCCCCGTCCACATGTTTTTTGAACACTTCCAGTGATGGTGACTCCCCCACCTCCCTGGGCAGCCTGTTCCAATGCTTGACCACTCTCTCCGTAAAGAAATTTTTCCTAATATCCAATCTAAACCTCCCCTGGTGCAACTTGAGGCCATTTCCTCTCGTCCTATCGCTGGTTACGTCGGAGAAGAGACCAACACCCACCTCACCACAACCCCCTTTCAGGTAGTTGTAGAGAGCGATAAGGTCTCCCCTCAGCCTCCTCTTCTCCAGACTGCACCTCCCCAGTTCCGTCAGCCACTCCTCATAAGACTTGTGCTCCAGACCCCTCACCAGCTTTGTTGCCCTTCTCTGGACACGGTCCAGCTCCTCAATGTCCTTCTTGTAGTGAGGGGCCCAAAACTGAACACAATATTCAAGGTGCAGCCTCACCAGTGCTGGGTACAGGGGTACAGTCACTTCCCTGGTCCTGCTGGCCACACTATTTCTGATATAGGCCAGGACGCTGTTGGCCTTCTTGGCTACCTGGGCACACTGCTGGCTCATGTTCAGCCAGCTGTCAACCAGCACCCCCAGGTCCTTTTCTGCCAGGCAGCTCTCCAGCCACTCCTCCCCAAGCCTGTAGCGTTGCATGGGGTTGTTGTGACCGAAGTGCAGGACCTGGCACTTGGCCTTGTTAAACCTCGTACAGTTGACCTCAGCCCATCGATCCAGCCTGTCCAGATCCAGGCTTGAGGTGGTGCCTTTACCTGCTCATGTCATACTAGTACACAGCAGTTTTCACTACACTCTGAGAATTTTTTGGTTATATAAAATATACACACGGATGCATGGGTTTCACTGATAGATAAAAATCCACTACTCTGAGAAGATTAGTTTTGTTTTTTCTAATTTATTTCAATGTATACTCCTAAATTGCATTTTTAATTACCCTTAGGAAGATCCTTGTTTTTTCATTCTCCCCTTTTCTGAAGATTATGTCAATGCCAGATGAAACAGCCTTTTGTCTTCCTGCTAACCACTTGTAATCACCTTACAAGAGCCCTTCTGTCCCTTCCTCCATGGTTATAGGTATATTTAATTGTAAGTTGGACAGACTGCAACAGAAGTGAATGAAATCCTCTGACTTAGTAGTTAGGCATTTTCAGCAATTTCCAGCTCTGCTCTGCATCTGCCAAACACTTTCAGCAGATATGCAGGAGTAGCAGGAATTAAGTCTTTGGGACATGAGTTTGTGTAAAGTTTTATATGTATAATTTATCTGTTTCACCAAGCTTTTTATCCAGTTTGTACAAGATTCATTGAAATGAATATGAGATGATTTAGCTGATTGAATATAAATTAGATTTTTCACAATATTCTTCACCAGTTTAGAGTATTCTGAGAAGGCTGGGTGTGTGTCTTGGGGAGGGAGAACTTCTCAGATTGGCAGCTGATTGAAGCTGAAGGGGTTTCCTCTTTGTTATATTCAGCTTGACCTGTCCATCTCACAAGACATGATCGCGTGTTTAATGGGTGAAATGGACCTTAAGGCATATGTTTGTCCTGGGATGTTTCTTGATAATGCATAGCTGGTGTCTTTCCTCTGTTACAGCCTTCTCTGTACGTGCTAGAAGTTTTCAAGAAGATCAAGTCGAGGTGAGTCCCAAGAGCCTTATTACTGAACAGGGTTGTGACTGAGTATCGGATTTCTGGGCCCAGGACTGGCTGGGGTCCTGGAACGGTCTCTTGTGCTGGGTATGGGCAGTGCTAGAGAGTCTGGAGTTACTGTTCCTGGCAGCCTCTTTTGGAGCATGCATGGAATTGGGGAATGGAAATTGTTCCTTCCATGGGGAGTATTGGATGAAGCAAACTGTTCCTTCCATGGGGAGTATTGGATGAAGCTTGTGTATGTGTGTTGGCTGCTTGGAGATGCATATGTATGTGAAGAGCAGCTTGGGCATGCTGAGGAGGGAAGATTGTGTGCCTGCTCCCTGTGCCAAAAGATGTCTGCTGGCCTGGGCTGTAGTCTGTGCCAATGCACTGTACTTTGTGGACAGTCACAGACCAACTGTTACGAATGCTTAGCACAGCTTTTGTACCAGAAACTACCTATACAGAAGTGTTTCCGGCTCATCTGTAGCAGTGCAGTGGCTGAGACTAATGCTTCTGTCCCTTTGCTTTCTTCTCAGTGAGCTGGAAGAGTCTCTCCTGGTGCTGCCCTTCTCCTATGTTCCTGACCTGCTCAGACTTTTCAATGAATATATTCACCTGGGCTCAGAAGTTGAACTTCTGTGCCGAGCTCTCCTCTTCCTGCTCAAGTGAGTCTTTCGTCTGCCCAGAGAGATCTGCTAGTCTTAGTTCGGTAGCTATTGCTGTCCAGAACCTGGATCTGAAGAAGCCCTAACAGGGCTCTGGTTAGTAGTGGGCCTGCCAGTTCCTCTGGGTCCCTTGTGCTGGTGCATGTCACGAACTCACTTTGTGCCAGTTACATGAACAGAGAGGTACTCCTTGCTCCTGGGCTGTGAGTCGGTGTGTTGGGACAGTACAGAGCTGAGGAATATACCCTGTTTCCTGGAGCTGCAAAGATGACATTGCTTGTTGTGAATGCTTGTAGAGTAAGAGTGTGGGGAAAATTTGGGCTTTCTCATATATCTCTCTGTCTGAAGCTCTTGGGAAGCATCCTTGGGAGTAAAGATGTGGTCTCTGCAGGAGATAAGGAATCACTGCAGCCCGCGAATGGCGTGTGGCAATGGATTGATCGGATGCAGAGTCTTGACATGCCCAGATGGGGTTGCTGGTCCTGGTCCCCCAAGTGTGAAAGATCCTGCATCAAGGCTGAAGTGGCACTGTTGACTGGCACAGGGTCATTGTAGAGCCCATGCCCTCAGAGAGTGCCTCAGCAAGACCTTCCCCTTGAACCACTGTGTGTTAAAGAGAAGCTTCAGAAAATAGCTTTTCCAGATAAATCTGCCCATGCCTGTTATATAAGGCTGGTCTGGGGAGGCCTCATTTAAGAAAAATCCTATGTCCAGAACATACAGAGGCTCAGGAGAGGGGCTTTCTGATGTTTCTAAGACCAATGCTGCAATACATCTCTGCCTGCTTTGTTCCTAGGATACATTTTGGACAGATCACAAGCAACCATATGCTGGTGACAGTGATAGAAAATCTGAAGAAAACCACCATCTCCAGAGTCAGTGAGGCCCGGGTGAGTGCTGCACCCTCCCCTTTTCCAGGATCTGGAATAACAGGATAGGCTAATGTCTGGGAGCATGTGTTGTCTGTGGTGACCAGTGGGAAAGTTGGTTGGGGGTTTGAGCCCATTTCACCTTCCTTCTGTGCAAACAGGCTGCCTCTTCCTTATGTTCTTCCTGATGTGAGACTACCCAGTGATCAGCCTGCGTTTGTGCTCCCTCCCTCATTTACTCTTGGGTTTTCTTTGATGTATATGTTTGGGCTTTGGCTCACTAGTTTCTAAATATGTAGGAGGTAAATAAACAAACTCTCTATTTCTCTTGGGCTTCTCTGTGGGCTGTTAGTCTCTCAAATAATGCAGACTGTGCATCTTCCCAGGCAACTTCAGGTGCCTGCTGGCAACTTGTCTTTCAGAAAATACAGTGGATTATAGCTGCTCTTGAGACAACTGTGGGGAACAGAGTGCAGGACTGACTGTTCTACTCAGATGAAGTTTACATTTAAATAACGTTGCTTTTATTTAGATCTGTGGATTGTCTTGCTTTCATCATTTCTTAGTAGGGGGCAGCAAGTGCAGGACTCTCTGCCCCCTAACAAGCTTGAGATGTGCCCAACAGTGTGGTGCTGGTCTGTCTCTACAGGATGTGCTGGGATTCAACATGGCAGGGCTCCAGTACCTGAAGAGAGAGATTGAGGCCAAGGATGAGGTGACATTTTTTGCTGATGCTACTGACCGATTTGAGGAGAAGAGGAGGAAGAGGAAGAAGAAAGAGAAGATGGTCCTTGCAGTGCTCTAGCATTTGCTGCCTTGATGGGGTCACGTAAAATCAGTGCTAGCCATGGAAGTGTTCTTGTGGTTGACCATCTGTGATGATGTCCGGTGACTGGGACAGTCTGTCCCCTCCCCATGTGGTATAACACAGCATATAACCCCAACTCAGCATGGTTGTCTCCGAGATGAACTCTCTGTAGTCTGCTGCAGATGTATGCATTTGAACTATTTCTGAGGTGACTGTCAAAGGTACTCCAGCAGAGTGCCCATTAGAAATGGATTTGACTTCTTGTGTGGAAGAGATCACCTCATTCTGGTGGTGTTGACTCAATGGAGTGAATCCAGCAACATGGACCATGAATCCAGCAACATGCTGGTGAGACCATGCCCTGTCCAAGGAAGGCAGCTGGCAAGATTTTATGCTGTTTTGACACCTGCTGGTGGTTTGTGGCAGTGCTTAGAGCCTCTGGGCAAAGCTGTGTGACTTCTGCCAAAGTGTGAGAACTTGGTCTACAGCCACTTACTTTTTAGTCGGACGGGGAAAAACATGGCTGCATTCTGTTAAATGCATATTCATATATGCTTTATGAGACAATGTTGCTAATGGAGTTCTATCCTGTTATTTCTCTAGTAAAGCCTCAACTGCCTTGCCCTGTGTGTCAGTTCTCAAAGGATTTTTTTTTCCAGAGAATAAAATCTGTGGGAGAAAATGGAAGGACTGACATCCAGGACTGTGCTATTCCCTAGAGTTGGCAGACTGAGCATGAGAAGTGTGGGTTGTATTGTACTTGCCTCAGTTTTTAGAAATTGCACTGAACTGTTAGAATGTTGTATTTTTCCTGTATCAGACAAAATTTATTTTCACAGTGGGGGAAGTGGGGCAGGATAAAGTGAGCAAGTCTCTGCTGCTGTTGGTAAGTTACTAGTTTGTAGTACATGCTGTCTTTTTTAAAAGTAATCACAGGTTTGGTGGATGTAGTGGGGGCTGCTTCCTGGGTACTTTGCTGACTGTTGGACTTACATGTCTGACTTGGGTGCTCAAAGATGGACTTCTTTCTAACGAGCTTCATATGGATTTTAATTGCATGCCAGTTGTTACCAACTACTGTCTTTGACTTAGGTTCTCTATTACTAGCAACTATGCACAAGGCAAACAGTTCAGTTGATCAGTCTTTCAGTAGCACCTCAGGCGTAATAACCCCATCTCTTAGAAGAACTGCCTTAGTAAATAACTTTGTAAGGGGGCTGATGGTTCACTTGCTTCTTCAGAGTCTGGGTAATTTACAGCAGCACTTCATGCTCCAATTCCAGGAAATGGGTCTCAGACTCTTTATGGAAATAGCAAACTTCACACAGCTCTGTGAGTTGTTTCTGGGTGCCTCTATAATTTGACATTTGTCCAGATATGGATGAAACTTGTGACCAAACAGCTCCACTCAAATGTGTCTCCATCCTGACCTATTCTGTTCTATTCCGTCTTGTTCTGTCATATTCCTTTCCTTCTCCCAAAGGAGGACCTCATAAGAGGGATTACTGCAGTGGGAGGGAGAGGAGGCACTTGTAGGATGATGAATTGTGTTGGTAACCTCAGTTGACATCTTGTATCCATGTCAGCTGCTGCTGAAATGGGCTAGGCCACTGGGAAAAAGAAAGAAAAGCATTAAAAGGAGGGGTGGCTTGTGAAACCACTGCACCTTCAGCAGTGATGACTGAGGAGAGAGATACCAAAACCAGGTACCAAAAGGGGAAGGCTGACTCTAGGCCTCCATGTGATGTGCTCTGTTTACCTTAATGCCAGGGAGATAAATGTTACGGAACCTACATAATGAGCTGCTGTTTGATCCTTTGGGAAGCCTGGGAGAATTCTGAAACATGGCTGCAGGTGCACATGAACTCGGAGACTAATGACAAGGATGTAGATGGTGGTATAGAGGAGTGACTTGGGATGCAGAGCCATCTTCTCATGATGATGACCAGTGTGTCCTTTGATCTAAGTTGGAAGAAGTGGAATTCCTTCATCTTTGTCTCTGTTTGCTGTCACTGGGATTTGGGAAGAATCCTTGAAAATAAAAGGTGTTTGAGGCAGTGGAACATGGTTGGCCTTTCTCCACAGGTGCTGACGCAGGCTTCCCAGTTGAACTTGCCCTCAGGTTCTCTGATTTGTATCACTTGTGACCAGTCCATACTGGCAACAGTGGCTTGCCTCAGTGCCCGGAATGCACTCCCAAGGGGACAGGTGAAGGACTGTTGGCTGTGTCTGCAGAAAACTGAAAGGCATCAGGGCAGAAATCAGCAGAGTCTGTAGCAAAATCATTGGTGTTGGAGAATAATGTTACCAAGTTTGATGCTACTTCTTGTGGTGTTTTCTCATCTGTGGGTACAGCTTAAACAATGTCCACATCTGGGTATCTGTTTTGGCACCTTCCCAGGATGACTTTCAGCCTTGGTCAATAGGTCAAATCTGACTCAGAGCTGATGGACAAATAGTCATGTCTGGTGAGGCAGTGGAAAACACCAATGCAGTGCTCAGACAGCTACTGAGGGTGCTCAGCATATGCTTTAAATAGAAGAGGTCCGTCCTGTGGCAACAATCCACTGATGCACTAGAATTCTGATATCCTTGGGTGCCTCAACTTGCCCTTTACTAGATTAAATTACTTGGATTTACAAACCTGAGCAGGAAAGCACTTGCAAATACAGGGCCACCTTAAAATGTGTATCGTTAGAATACGTGTCTCACTTAACAGTGTAGATGAGAAAGTCCAAACCTGGCATTCATATTTCACACTGGTGAAAGCTATTAGTTAATCCCCAATTGTGAGATTCTCAGTCACAATGAAGTGTTGAGAGAACAAGTCATCTGCATGTATCAAGGAAAATTCCCCATCTCTCAGGATATCACAAGCTGGAAAAAGGATGAAGCACAGGAAAGCATCTTGCTGGAAATGAATTCATAAAAAGAAAGCAGAACTGCAGCTGCGTATACAAATAGAGTGTCTCGCAAAGAGACTGAGATGTTTCTTTTAGTCACTACTGTGTAAGGAGGAACAAAGCGGGGCAAGGCGGCCATCTCTGAGTGGCTCAGTCTTCTGTTATGAAGAGAGATGTGCAGATGAGCATTTGAAGATGATAATGTCTGATAATGAACAAGAGGATATAAACAGAATTGCTGTCAGTCCCTCTCTGTCAAGTGCAACTTTGTGTACTCATAATCCCCATCTGGTGTCTGCAGCTAATTAAAGGTAGGTGAACACACAGAAAATGAAGCCTATGATTGCGAAAGCAAACAAACTTAGGAATCGGAAGAATCTCTTTCTTGAAGAATCACAGCTGACTTCAGTGAAATTTGCTGCATGCTCAATACTTAAAAAAGATTTCAGGTGCCTCAGCACAGGTTATAGAGACCTAACACCTTTTAATAACAAAATAAACCTATCGGGAACCATTCAGCACTTGTCTGAAGTGCAGAGTATCAAACATTGGGGTTGCAATACAGTAATCTTTCCACTGTCTGCATTTCAGACGGCCACGTCAGAACACTATGTAACTTTCTGACCACCCTTCCCATTAATAGGGAACAGACAAAATATTTATTCATGTTAATCTGATTAAATAAATGAAAAAGTCTACACTCGATGTTTCCATAATGTTGGACTACAATTCATGTTTATTCTTCTAGGGCTCTGACCTGTAGTGAAAAGAGGAGAGAAAATTGACATGAAAGGAAAGAAAAAAACCAAACCCCAACCCTACCTTTATACAGTTGTTGAAGCAAACCCAGTAATTATGTCCAGATTCTTTGCAAGTGTTGTGTAAGCTTCAGCAGAACTGGCCTCTACTCTTGCTGCTGCAAGAGAACATGAAAAAGGGTTCTCACGTGGGCTTCAACTAGATTAAGAGTTTGCTTTTATTTCACAAATTGAGTGGCATAAGAATCATGACCATGAGTTCAGGATGGGCAGTCTACTTAAGAATACTGAAGGCTTTCATGGGCAGCTTCCTATGCAGTATTTAATTCTGTGTATTAAGAGTATCTTTGTGAAATGTTTTAAATAGAAATGAGAAATAACTAAGAAAATATAAATGAGACATGACAAAGTTCGGTTAGATAATGCTTCATCGGTGATTTTTGTTGGTCTCAACTAGGATGTATGGCAAATTTGTGACCAAGCCTAATATTGCAGGGAAGTTTCTAGGTCTCAATGAAGAGAATCATTGGCTCTGGTGATAACCTCTGTGAAAGGTGATAGGAACTTAAAAAGTTGTCACAGTGTCTCTGGAAAGACTTAACTATTTCTATTCTGGAAAGTTGAACAAGACTATTTAACCAAATACAGGACTTAACCTGGGAGTGTCAGCATTTCATGTTTTGTGAGACTAAACCAACTAGTCCAGAGTTCTTTGACACATTTGAGATGGTTATGCTTTTGAGTGCAGGTGATTTTGTGGGGAGGAACATTCAAAGAGGCATTTGGTACAGCTGCTTGGGTAGCATGGGGTAGCTGTAGCCAGCTTCAGTAGGAGTTATCAATCAATTCACTAAAAGGCTTTGTCAGAACAGAAGGGAGATTTTTCTGTGGCAACGGCAACTATGATTAGCTGGATTAGCCTTGTGGGAGGAGAATACCATGTAGTTAATTTCGCCTCACTTGGAGCTTTTAATGGGAGATGAGAATTTCTGTTGGGACTGTTGGGATGGGGGTGTCTCACTGAAATGTGAACAGGCTGGGTGAGTACTTCTCTTCCATCTCAACATGAAGTGAAAGAAGTTTGTCTAAATTGCCTTCACTGATGAGCTCCCGGTTGTAAGCACCTAAGCTGGAAGGCATTAAATTTGCTGTTCTTCTAGACTAATTGCATGTTACTCTGGGGGTAAAATTCCAGACGGGGAAGATATTTAAATGGGATATTTTAAATGTAAGAAGATATTTAAACGGGGAAAAAAGTTATGTTTGGTGTACTCTGGGCAATCCTAGAGCAGATGCAGCAGTCAGAGGTGCATATTTCTGCAAAGTTTCTTTTGAGAACTGACTGATGTGGTTGCTTTTCTTTTTCTCCAAAGGAGAGGAAATGAGATACAGCTGGGATTTCTTTACTGACTTGTTAGATAACATGGCAGATTTACAGATGTTAAAGGTGAAAGAAAAAGATGTCAGTGTTACATGTACAAGGCAAATGGGCACTCTTGAGCTGAGAAGAAACATCTATAGGGTTCCTGTTTATGAACTGTCACCATCGATTGTATTATAGAGTGTCTGAGTTGACATGGGTGAGATGAAACACGAGCCTAATGTTAAACATGTTGGCTGGTGGTTTGAGGAGAAATTCCCAGTAAGGCTTTCTTGTTGGCAAGGAAGACTTACCCATTCTCTGTGTAGGCTGATTCTCTAAGGTTATGGAAATGTGCTGTATGAAGGATGCGGGCAGAGGGTTGTGTGTGCTTGAACATGTCATGTTAAGGTTGCCCTGTCTATCTGCAAGACTTCTGTCCCTTATTAGACTTGCTGTCAGTGTCAAAGGGTCAGCAGTTAAGACTTGGTTTTAGAAAGCAAAGAGTGTTAAAGAGAGGCTGATTTATTAGGGCTTAACCTCAGTAAATCCAGCCTCCTGCTGCCAGGAGGCTCAATGACTTGTTTAATGTGGAGACAGTTAAGTGAAGGACAAGACACAGGGATGCTCTGCTGTGAGTGCTTTCACTGAGCTGAGTGGCTGTAGTAATCTGTAAATCTCTTGCAGTGAGTCCTTTGGTTAATGTCATCCAGTGCTTTCCTTTTCTTGTCTCAGGTCGTCATGTCTGTGTGACATGTGCGTGACAGCTTTGCTGACATGAGGTTTGTTGATGATGTGGATCAGAAGCCAAGAGAAGACAAAACAACTGTACTTTAATTTACGTCTGATATCACTGCATCCAGTATTACATTAACTAGAAAGCTTTCGGGGTAGTGTAATCCGGAACCGTGGCTTGGAGCTTGCAGGAACTGCCCGGACTGTTGGTGCCATTCCACCTTGGGGATATCCTTGTGGGCGGCACTCATAAACGTCATTGGTTAACACAGGTGGAATATCATGTTAAGGATCGAACCATTTATGTACATTTATGTACCTAAAATAAAATGTGTGGAGGCTGGAATGAATTCTGGAAATAAGGCTGTGAAACAGCTGGAATCTGGACTCCTGCCCTCAGCTGAAAGATTAAAGACCAGGTAAAATACTGGGGAAAGGCACATGTTTTGGAGGCTGGTCTGCAGCTGTGTGTCTGAGGACTGGGTGAGTGGGAACACAGCAGGAGCTGGTTTTACTGCTATGCCACCAGTCCTGTCTGGCTCAGCTTCTCAATAATGGGCATGAAAGACTTTGGGTCACTATGAAGTAAATTCGGGGAGTTTCAATTTGATGTCACTTCCAGAGCATATAAAGCCTCAATGGAGTTGCTGTTAGCTAGTACTCTGGGCAGTCTTGGAGGATCCTGATGTTTTCTGTCTTTGGTAAGGGTGGCCCTTACCAGGAGTGGAGTTTCTGGTATGTTTGGATGTACCCTGCCTTGCTATTTCTTTTATAGGTTTCCAGAAGACCTCTTCTCCCAGGCTTTTAAGTGTAAATTTGATTAAAAGTCAAACAGAACTTCACCCTTTCTTCTGAACGGGCCCTTGAAAAATGAGTCTCCAATGTTATCTATTAAATAATTGTAGTTTCTGGAGCACAAGGGGAAGAGAAATAATAGTTCTTGACTTTCCTGTTTTCTTTTACTCTAGTTCTGTCCTCAATTAAATGGAAAAGCGCACTGAACTCACACTGGGCTGACTTCTGACAGCATTCATGTACTTCTGTGCTTGCATCTTTACTGACACAGGGATTGTCTCATTTGTCTGTTTACTAGCTAAGATGATACATGATTTTGTTGCTTATGAAGCTGTACCACCAGATGCTACCATAGGTTCAAAAACCTTATAAAGAATTTCCACTGGGGGGAGGTGGGAAAG